CAGGGATGAGGGAGAAGAGGGGCAGGACCCTGCTCTTCTTGGGGAGGTCAGGGAAATGATGGCATGGAGGGTCTGTTGGCACGAGCCGCTTGCTCAATCATGGATCCCAGGTCTGTGTGGGAGGCAAAATAGAAGTTTATGTGGATATCATCAGTAACATAGCAAATATGGGCTTCTTCCCTAGGGTGGCTGAACCTCCTGCTCATCTGCTGAGCAAAGACCCGGCCTGGCCTTCTGGGCCTCCACAGTGAGCTTTTCCCAAGCTCCGTCCACTCCGTGGAGATGGCCGGAGCCAGGGCAGACATGGGGTGTTTGCCACTTCTTTTTTTTCTTTTTTTTTTTTTGAGACGGAGTCTCGCTCTGTCGCCCAGGCTGGAGTGCAGTGGTGTGATCTCAGCTCAGTGCAAGCTCCGCCTCCTGGGTTGACCCATTCTCCTGCCTCAGCCTCCTGAGTAGCTGGGACCACAGGCGCCCACCACCAGGCCCGGCTAATTTTTTGTGTTTTCAGTAGAGACGGGGTTTCACCATGTTAGCCAGGATGGTCTCGATCTCCTGACCTCATGATCCGCCCGCCTCGGCCTCCCAAAGTGCTGGGATTATGGGTGTGAGCCACTGCGCCCAGCCAGGTGTTTGTCAGTTTTTGAAAGCTACATTTAAAGAATGAAATAGACTGAACAGAATTACTTATTTTTGAATATTGAATACTTAGTCTACCAGAACACTTAAATATAGTTAATGTATTCAAATAATAACTTTCCCTCTGTTTCCAAAGCAAAAGTATAAACAACCTTTTACTTGGCAGGGATTTCACTCTATTTCTAAAAAGCCAGCGAGCACTTTTCCTGAAATAGACCCGTCTCTTCCTCTGCATAGACCCTATGAACATTTTAGCTACATTTCTGCTGTATCTTGATGTGATAGATTATAGAAAATTCCTTGCTACTGGAACTTCATGATACATTCCTTTTAAACATCAAATAGAAAATATGGATAGTAAATCTCAGAGTAGTTGCCATTCTCGGTCTTGGTAGAGCTGCCACCAACAGCCTCTGTCAGTTACAACAGAGTATGTCTCCCCAGCATCCCAGCTTAGATTGCAGACCGAGCCAGGCTCACCCAGGATTCAGTGCAGCGTCTTCCGGAGCTGCAGCCACTGCTCTCGGAGGAGACTTGAGAAGCCCTCCCTTTGATGCTTGCACGTGGCTGTTCTCAGATCACAACAGCTGCAGTAGCATCTCGGAGGATGCCGGTAGGGGTGTCCTGGGTACTGACACCACGGCAGGGACCTGCAGTGTCGGAATGAAATGGGCCGTGACACTGAGCAGCCGAGAGGAGTCCACAGCCACGTTTCAAAGGTGCAGTGGCCCGAGGTGAACCCCAGAGCACTGAGGAGCCTGGAGTTGACCTGTCACGACTCCACTGAGAGAGCTGACTGAATTCCGTACCTATGTGGGTAAAAGATGGCTATTTGCACTTGGCCTCTTCCCTGGCCAGGGCTGGGGAGGTTGTCTGTACAGCTAGTGGGAGCTTGACTCTGTGTACACTTGGGGGGCTGAGTCTCTCACCTTTCTGTGACCCCCAGGGAAGATAGACATGCCGAGCTCTCCTGGAAGGGGCCCCTGATGAGTGGAAGCTGAGCTTCAGGATGGTCGGCCTTGTGGTATGCAGGGCGGGTTCAGAGTCGGTGCGTGCTGCGTGGGGGCCCGGCTGCTGCTGCTGTCGCTGATTGGGCTCAGCAGACGCTGCGGGTGGACGTGGCTCCTGTGGTACTTGGTTTTCTCCTCACAGGAGTGGGTTTCCCTGCAGTGAAGGTGTCTGTGCTGTGACAGGCAGCCTGGCAGGAGGAAGGTGCTCCTGGGGTTGTGCCCCGAGGCCTCCTTCCTCTTGAGGAGCAGGAAGAGGGGTTGGGACCCTGCTTCCGGCTGTGCTCCCTTGCTAGGTTCTTGGTCTCCGGGGCAGGGAGCAGCTGAGTACAGGCCTGAAGCCTGGACCCCTTCCACAGCCTCCTCGGCGCTTGTGGTGGTATGCAGGACGTGGCCCTTGGAACTCTAAGCCCTACCCTGGCATGCCCGCCCATTGGGGTGTCTCGGGCACCTGCTGTGTGCCAGGCTCCATGGTGGGGTGGGCGGTAGCAAGGGCTGTGGGGTAGAGGGGGCACGGTACGCGGATAAGCATCAGGGAGGCACTTGAGGCAGTCACAGCAGAGCTGAGACCTGCAAGGAGGGACTGGCTGTGGGTGTTGGGGCTCAGGGAGCTGCCTCTACCAGAGCCACAGTGGCCAGTGAGGGCAGAGCGGGGGACCGAGGCCCGGGGAAGCCGTGTGCATGGTTTGCATTGGGTGTGCAGTTCTGCCAGGCTGTGCTGCCCTTCTCAGTCCTGGCTGGGCCTGGGGTCCCAGAGGGAACAGAGGGGTCCTCACATCTCCCTCCTCTTGCTTCCCTGTTGCTTCCTGGTCAAGGGATGCTTGTTTACTGCAACTCTGGCAGTTTTTCTGAATATTGAGGCGTTTCACAAAATTGTGGGGGGAGAGGGACTAGGGATTCATTTTTTTTTCCTCCCCTTGATTTTACACGGAGGCTTCTGCTGTCCCTTAGTGTGGAGGCAGAGTGCAGATGCTCTGCAGTTCTCTGTCCAGGAAGAGAAGAGCTGATGGGAAGTCACAGATCTGATCATTGCAATAGCACTGACATTTTTAAGTGGGAGAATGCTGATGTCTATAATAATCAGAGTAAAACTTCAGTAGCTTCAACATAAAGATTCTGAGATGATCTTAGAGCCATTTCGTCCCTAGATCCTTCTGCAGTGTGGAGTGAGACATCTCTACCAGCCTCTGGTCAGTGGCCGCCTGTGGGTAACTAAATGCTTGAAGTGCAAATGAGAAAATGGAACCTCTAATTTTATTTAATTTTAGTCAAATTTAAATAGCCATATGGGCCGGGCACTGTGGCTCATGCGTGTATTCCCAGCAGTTTGGGAGGTCGAGGCGGGTGGATCATGTGAGGTCAGGTGTTCAAGACCAACCTGGCCAACAGGGTGAAATCCCATCTGTACTAAAAATACAAAAAATTAGCCAGGCGTGGTGACAGGCGCCTGTAATCTCAGCTACCCGGCAGGCCGAGGCAGGAGAATCACTTGAACTCGGAGGCGAGGTTGCAGAGCCGAGATGAGCCCTGCACTCCAGCCTGGGTGACAGAGGGAGACTGCCTTAAGAAAAAAAAACATTAAAAAAAACCCTACATGCCCCTAGTTGCTTCTGTAGGAAACGGCATGGTTCCAGAAGGTAGACTTTGTGTTGAGGACTCTGCAGCGTCAGGCTGGAGACAGTCTCCCTTCCTAGCAGCGTGGGCCGCTGGGCTGCTCTTCTACCAGAAGGGATGGTGGCGTCTCTGGGAGGTATCTGTGGACTCAGATCTGTGTGGATAAGTGACTTGTGTTACTCACAGATACTTAATTTTATGGGTAAATGAATACCTGGACTGGCTGCAACTTCAGGGCGAGATTTTAGGGAGTAGGGAGTGAAAAGTGACGAGGGGACCCAGGGCTTGTCCTGCCGACCCCAGCACCTGGTCGGGGTGCCCCCTCCCCTCTGAAGCCCCCAGACCCTCCTGGCCTGTGGTGCTGCTTCTCCAAATACTGCCCTTGGCTGTTTTCCAGGAGTCACTGGCACCAGAGCAGGCTGCGTGTGTCATTCTTCACGGATCTCTGGGGTGTCGGTGAAGTCATTTTCTCGTCTTCCTCCTCATGGCTGTATCTCACCTGTTCGAGTTCGTGTGTGCGTGTTGTGCATTCTCAGGCTGTACTCGGTGCTTAGGTGACAAGAACGTCTTAGAGCAACGGACGGGTCTGCTCCAAAGGACGCTGTGTGTGAATCGAGACACAGTTTACTTGTGGGGTTTAAATTTCCTGGGTGTTGGAGGCAATTAAGGGGAAACAAGGTCTAAAAAAGCCCCTGCAGATGAGGAAGGCAATAATGAAAAAAATTACTCTATACACACTTAGCAGTTGATTTAATTTGTAGGTGAATTTTGCATTTCGGGAACTACTAAAGCTACTGTTGTAGGGATTCCTTGATGAGCTTCTTGTTTTCTGTCTAGAAAGTAAAGTGGATCGGTTTTGCCTTTAATGCTGACTGACTAGAATCTACTTCCTTTTCCCCCCATTCACGTTAGGGTGGGGATTGGACTGGAAGAGCTGTAGGATCTCTTTATTTCTGATCTTAAATGAATTTTTTCTTCAATGCCCTGTTCTTTGGTTTGGGAAATGTGCTCAATTTGTACCGTGCTTTAAATGTACACAATGGTTCGAAATTGCTACTTTTCTTTAAAGTTAGATATAACATCTTAAGTAAAATGTCATCTATAAATCAGGCACAGTCTGGGGCCTGGAGACCCCTCTTGTCACTTCCTTCCAGCTGTGTCTCCTTCCCTGGCCACATTGCCCCTGGCCACATCTCCTCCCCACACCACGCCGTGTCATCCGCCCACCACCTCACCTCTGGTCACAACACCTCCCTCCCGGCCACATCACCTGTGGCCTCACTGCCTGCCTCCCTCCTTCCTGGTGGCCTCCGTGGCTCCCACTGTCTGCCCTCCCGAGGGTCTGTTCAAGGCTCCTTCCCCGTTTTCCACTCCTGAGTGGGTCTCGGGGCCTAGATGTTTCACAGGATGCAAGTTTCTTCCCTTCCAGCCGTGGGTCTCTGAGCGACAACTCCAGAGAGGGCACTAAGCTCTCCTTACCTACCTGGGGGGCCTTGAGCCCTGACCACCGACCACCAGGGCTTTTCTGCAGTGTGTGGGGCAGACTCATGCATGAATTGGACTAAAAAGATGCTTCCAGGAATCCTTGTTTTAAGTGCACTGGAGCAGAGATGGGGAGAGGGGACCACCGGGTTTGCTCAGAATTTGGTCCTGATCACAGCCAATGAGGCAACATAAGCACCTCCTAAATGAAGCGTTCCACAGACTGATTTTACACATGACAGAAAGGCTTCACACAATGAGTGAGTTTGAGCTGCATTTGAAGGAAGAACAGGTCCCTGTAGGTGGAAATGAAAGGTAAGCGTGACCCAAGCCATCAGCAGCAGCGGGGGTGGGGTGGTGCAGACTCCCCATGGATGGTGGGCATGGCTGAAATGCAGGAGAGGGCAGGGGTGCGAAGGAACAGCAGGGCGGCAGTAAAATTCCCCTGCAGAGAGGGGACGTGACTGAGATATTATCACATGTATACAACTGAGAGATGATTTGAGGAGGATTTCTGGGAGCCTGTGGGAAGAGCACGTGGTCATCATCAGTTCTCGGGATCTCTTTTTATGAAGTGAAAATAGTCTTGCCTCTGCCTATCTTGTGAGCTGTTGTGACGATCAAATCAGATAATCTTCAGCGAGCCTTGTAAATGCTAAAGCTTATGACAGACTGTTCCAGCCCCCTTGTCTCTACCCTCCTTTCCTCCTGGGTAACGTGAACCCTGCTGGGTACCTCACTATCTGCCTGGTTTCCTCCTCCATAACGTGAGCCTTGAGTACTTGCTGGGTACCTCGCTGTGCACCTTCCTTAGTAACGTGAGCCCTGAGTATTTGCTGGGTACCTCGCTACCTGCCGTACAGCTGGCTGTAGAATTGTCAAACGCACTTGGCTGGCACATAAGCAGAAGTGCTCGCTGGGCCTTGGGAGGGCTTTGTGACATGTGGGTGCCTTCTGTTCCCTGTTAGGCTGGAGCTGCAGGAGCCCCCCTAGACCAGATAGAGGACCAAGGCTGTGGCCTCGGGGTGGGGGCTGGGGGAGCTCCCTGGGTTTATTGTGTGGGTGAGAGCAAACTTCAGTCCCGCTGTGGCATTGGGATTCAGGGTTCCTTCTGGAATGTTCTGAGTGAGAAACAGGAAGTGCGCACAGGTGCGTCTTCTGCGGATTTTATGGTTATCTCTTGGGAGAGCACTGGTGCCTCTGAACTATGAACCTGCAGAACCACTTGTTCCACTAACGGCCGCCTTTATATAAAGAATGACTTACAAAAGATGCCACTTCAGATGGAGGTATTTGCAGGTGTGGCCTGAAAAATGAACAAAATGACTTTCATCTCAAGGAAAGTACCTTACATTTTTCCCAATGATAGACATTTGAGCTTTCCAGCGAATATTAAAACATAAAAATCTTGTGTCCACCACTTTCTCATGTGATCAATGGTGATACTGATGTGGGGTTTTTTTTTTTTTTTTTTTTTTTTTTGGACATATAATGAAATGTGGAAGCCGCTCATAACTCTGAACCAGTATTTTCTAACCAATGTGTGATTACAAAATCGTGTGCTGGTAAAAGCCATTCAAGTGCAAGACGGACCAGTCGACTTAGAAGGAATTGGGGCAGAAAGGCCCGTCGACCAGAGCACAGACTCTGTGTTGCAGACAGCCTGTACGGAAGTGCCACTTGTTACATTTGGCAGCAGAGAATACCTAAAATGATCTGAAAACACAATGAAAATACTGCTTCCTAATTGTATATCAGTATGGGGTCGGACTTTCTTCATAAACTTCAGCCATGGCTCTGCAGCCCACTGAACGCAGATGCAGGCATGAGAATCCTGCTGTCTGAGGTGCAGAGATGTTAGGTGTTTTCACAGCAGCACAAACTGTTGCCACGCTGCTGCTTATTTTGGAAAATGGTTTCTTCTTTAAGACTGTGTTAAGATGTAATGACTTTATCCTTGTAAAAGAAACTAAATTATGTTCTTTTTTTTTTTTTTTTTTTTTTTTGAGACGGAGTCTTGCTCTGCCACGCAGGCCGGAGTGCGGTGGTGTGACCTCAGCTCACTTCAACCTCTGCCTCCTGAGTTCAAGCGATTCTCCTGCCTCAGCCTCCCTAGTAGCCGGTACTACAGGTGTTCAGCACCATGCCAGGCTAATTTTTGTATTTTAGTAGAGACGGGGTTTCACCATGTTGGCCAGGCCGGTCTCGAACTCCTGACCTCAAGTGATCCACCTGTCTCTGCCTCCCAAAGTGCTGGGATTACAGGCATGAGCAGCCACCACTCCCGGCCTGATGAGAAAGCTTTTTTGTGCTCTTTAATAAAGTGCAAAGGGTTCCTGAGACCCAAAAGTTTGAAAACCACTGGCTTAAACCGACAAAATTGTCCATGATTCTTCAGTGTATCTTCTAATCTGTTGATGGAGAGAGGACAGCAAGGGTTGCTTTACTTTTTTCCTTTCACAACTCAATGGTGCTGGGACAACTGGGGTATCCACATAGAAAAGGATGGACTGGACCCTTCCTCACCCTACACGCAAAGCTCAACATGGTTCCAATGTAAGGAGCTGACTGAGACCCATTCTGTCAGTCTGCTGGGTACCATAACGGACACCACAGACCGTGCGACTTAGACAATAGCATCTTATTTCCTTTTTTCTGGAGACTGGAAGCCTGGGATCAAGGTGAGGGGGGCAGGGTTGGATTCTCTGGGGCCTCACCCCATGCTGTGTAGACAGCTTCTTCTCTGTGTCCTCACAGGTTTCTCTCACGTGTATGCAGCACTGAGGACTGTGTCTAAATTCTCTTAAAAGAACACCAGTCATACTGGATCAGGGCCTACTTTTAAGATCTTATGGGACCTAAATTGCCAAGTTAAAGGCCCTGTATGTAAATACAGTGACATTTTGGGTTTCTGGGGTTGTGACTTTAACATGGAATCTTGGGGGAGGGGGACAGTTCAGCTCATAACACCTTTAGGGGAGAATCCTGGAGAAACTGTTAGGTTGGATTAGGCAATGTTTCCTTGGCTGAGACGTCTAGAGCTATAACAAGCAACTGAAGGGAAAAAGACGGTATCAAAATTAAAAATGTTCAATTCAGAGGATACTATTAAAGTAAAATGACAACCCACAGAACAGGATACATTATCACGATAAGGACCTGATATCAAGAATATATTCAAAAACTTAATAAAAATCCAATTTAAAAATGGACAAAGGATTTGAATAGACACTCTCCAAAGAAAGACATATAAATGCCTTAAAAAGCACATATGTTTAGCAGAATTCGTCATCTTAGAAATGGAAATCAAAACCACCGTGAAATAACACTTCACAACCACCGTGATGGGTGGGTAAAACCCCAGTATTGGACAGTGACATGTTGGTGAATTGGGGAAAACTGAAATCTTGATATATTGCTAGTGGGAGGGGAAGTAAAATGGTGCAGTTGATTTGGAAAAGTCTGACAGTTCCTCAGAAAAGCATGAAATCACCGTACGACCCAGCAATTTCACTCCTAGCCATATGCTCAAGAAAACTGAAAACATTTTTCCAAAAAGTATGTCATGCCTGAATCTTCACAGCAGCATTATTCATAGTAGTAGAAACAGTCCAGGTGTCTGTCAACCGGTCACTCACTGAGATTCCACTCACCTTAGACGTGAAAGATGTCAGCACCGAAGGTCACACCAAAGGTCATGCACTGTACGATTCTCCTCACAACAGGTGTCCAGAATGGGCAAATCCAGAGAAAAGGAAGTTGGCTGGTGATTGCCAGGGGCTGGTAGAAGGAAGGAGCCAGGTGCTGACTCTTAATGGGTTCAAGGTTTCTTTGGCCTGTGGTGAAAAAGTCCCGGAATTACATACTAGTGGTTGATGTGCAGCTTTTAGAATATGCTAAAAAGACTGAATTGTATTCTTTAATATTGGGGCTTTTGTGCTTTGTAAATTGCTTTTCAATTTAAAAAGGAATTCAAGAAGTTATTTGGTGTTGATATGATAGAGTATCCAAACAAGTTACTATGTAACTCACGTCCCCAGAGTTAAACTTCATTTTCTGAGGATCTTGAAGTGTTTGAGGCTAGGAGACACAACGATCCTATACTGTATGTTACACCCCATCTTACTGATTTCTATCTCACATAACCATATTCAGGAAAAACCGACATGTAAATGTGAGCTGAATGCTATGCAGAGGCACATTCCTCTTACCCGGATGATCTTTAGTGGTACAGTAAGAGATGAGATCATAGCAACGTTAGTTTAGTTAGTTTAATTTCCATGGCAACAGGAATTTGGCACATGGGATGAGTTAGATCTCCCTGCACAGCTCCTAACGGGGTTGCCCATTTCTGTGTGGTGTCTGTGTATATTCTCGCTGTGGAAATAAGTGATAGCACCTGCACAAACACTTGTCCGGAAGCGCACACGAAGCTGGTGAAGGCAGAGGACAGGCGAGAGGGAAGCATGGCTCAGCCCTGGCAAAGAAGACGTTATTCCAAACGCAAAATATTCAGGAACACAATCCTTGGGAAGACTGGTGATGTCTTTAGACCTCACCACTATCGGGTTGTATCTGTGCAGCCAGTTACCAGAGCCGCAGAACGGCGTGTGTTGGTATTGGTGTCATCACTCAACGATTCTGACTTTTCCTGGTGCTGAGGATGACTGCATGTGGCAGAAGCAAAGTGCTAATCTAGCACAGGTCATCATATCCAAGTTCTTTTCTATGAAGGCGGGCAGGGTTAGAACCACCCACCCCACCCCACTCCCCAATCCTATAAGAACTGGGATCTGATGATCTGTGCTGTCGAGAGAGGCAGGGTTAGAACACCTCATTCCTCAATCCCATTGTTGAAATAATAGTTGGATTGGGAGGGTTTTTACTCCTAAGGTTGAAGCCGTGCATTTCTGGAGCCTGGGCTGTCAGTCATGGTGGCTGGGGAATGCTGGGGCTGCGGTTGTCTGGCTGCCGGTAGCCCTGCTGGTGGGTCCTCCTCTTTGACACCGTTCATTTCTGAAGCTTGCTTTCCCCGTGTTGGAAGTAGCAGCACTGGAGAATGGCCGCCTTCCTACAGCGAAGCTCTGGCAGGAGGAGAAGATACGGAGCGTCTGTTCAAGGACGTGACGTTCTGGGCACTGCACCATGCGTTCTGCTTCTCAGCTGTGCCTCCTGGTTGATGTTACCATCACCTGGCATTTCCCAGGAGGTAACTCGCGAATGCCACACTGATGGAACCGTGCGGCTCGAGTCCAGGGCCGCTGGAGCAATCAGCAAGGTCAGGCTGGAGCAGTGCTCACCATGGGGTCTGTAGCTGGTGACGGAAAGCAGAGGTCCAGTGGAAATGCAGTCACAGGAAGAGGTCCATGAGGAAGGAACAGTGGAATGAGGCAGGAAGAAGACAGGAAAGAGCAGCCATCAGGGGGAGGCCAGGACCAGCAGCGATGGAGTGGCCTCAGTGTGGTGAGTTGTGACTAGGAGCATGTTTGTCCGCAGGAAAAATGCAGGAAAGTGGCAGGATCCAGGTGCTGGCAGCAGAGGTGACAGGCAGTGCAGGAATGGACTGTCTATCAGGGGATGAGGGGCCAGGTGGGGGGGGGGGAAGATGGTCAGGAGGGGAATGGAAGTATGGGCATTTTTTTTTTTTCAGGCCTGGATTGGCTACAAATCTGGCCTCGCAGGTGCGATCGGCAGAGCCCCGCACGTGGATGTCGGCTGGACTCGGGGTCCGTGAATGTTGCTTGATCGAACTGTTTGGTACATTCTCAGCTCCTGCCCAGGTGCCTCCCAAGCATCAGGTGTTGTGGCTCCCACACCCTTCCATCTGTTGTAGCAGACCACCCTTCCTACCGTGTGTTTGTCCTATCACGGCTGCTGTGCTAACGGACGCTTTGCTTTCCAGCTACTTTCCTATAACCAAAGCCCTTGACTTGGCTGCGTTTCAGAGACGACAGGGTATTAGTTTTTCATGATTGCTCTGAGGATTCCGAAAGCAAATGTAACTTACAGGATGGAAGATATTGGAGACAGTAATTATAGATGACTTTTCTCAGTTTTTGATTGTGGTAAATTACACAGCACTCTATTTTTAAGTGTATGGTTTGTGGCATTAAGTGTGTTCACACTGTGGTGCCGATCACCGCCATCCATCTCCAGAACTTCTGGTCTCCCCACGCTTGAAACTCGGTCTACCAACACCAGCTCTCCTCCCGCCCCAGCTCTGGAAGCACTACAGGTTGCTTACAAAATAAGCTTTTTCAGTAAGAGAAGGGGCAAGGAAAAGAGCTCTAAAGACTGTCTTGAGATTTGAGGAAGTGTTTTAGGTTTTGTGTCTGGTTCCCGGTGTAAAGGAACTATTGAAGACGTGGGAAGGCGAAGGTCTGTGATCTCAGGAAGTGCTGGGCTGGGCAGCTTTCCCACTGTGACGGGGGCACTTGCCCTCAAACCTGCCTGAGATAATCGCGTGATGGTGCTGCATTGTGACAGCTCTGAACTTGGTCTCCTTGAACGTTGCCAGGTACATAAGCTTTGGCGGTTACCGTCTAGTGTCTGTGGGAGACCTAGAATTTGAACATTGTTGACTTTAGAACACTCATAACACTCTACCTGTTCTCATCAATAGGAAATATGCTGTGTCCTTTTTTTTTTGCCTTAATATTCCGTGTTGCAGTGGCAGTAGTTGCAGCGGAGCGCTACTTCTGGTTCATGGTCATCGCCAAACACAAGCTTCTGGAAACCGTGTGAAAAATGAAGGGGAAAGTGCTTTTCTGCAAAGAGGTTTTTTGAACATCTTTTTTCTGGAATATCTGTTGTATAAAACATTTTCATATTTAGGGGTTTGTAACGTATTTTATACTGGTTAGCTTTGAAACCCCATGTTTTTGCATGTCATGGGGCTGCTTTATCCTATTCTATGATACAGCTGGTTTTCAAAACTATTGGTTATTTCACTTTAAAAACCAAACCAGTTTACAGTATGAGTGTGATTCCTGTAAGAATTTAATTGTAAAATTGATTTGTGTTCAATAAGCTTACTGGAATGACTAGATCAGTGTACGAAAAGATAAGAACATGTCAAGTCTCTGGGCCAGGAAGGACGTGATACACAGTAATTTCTTAACAAGAGATTAGATTTCATACATAACTGTTTAAAACCTCTATTTTCTATTATAGCCATTCCACAGTGCCCACGGGGGTGGGCTGCAGGACTGCCTATGGATACCAAGGTCTGTGGGTGCTCAGGTCCCTGGTATAAAATGACATCGTGTTTGCATATGACATACACACATCCTCCTGCAGACTTTCAGTCATGTCAGGGTTGCTCGTAACGCCATGCGAGTAGTTAAACCATATTGTTTAATGAATAATAAAGTCTGAATGCTTAGTACAAACACCTTAAAAAAGTATTCTTGATCTATGGTTGGTTGAATCCACAGGCCTGGAACCCTGGGATAGAGTACAAAACTCTAGAAGCAAAACGAACAAGTAAAGAACTTGAGGTCAGCAGTGACGGGTGTGGGATCGCACTGAATCTCATGTGTGTTGCTGTCTTACTACAGAGTGTAAACGGGAACCGTTTTTAGCTTAAGGTAAAATAGGTAACAGGAAGCACCACGGAATGGGCACGAAGGCGCGCCTCTCATTACCACGTGTTACAGCCAAGCGTCTGCCTCCTGGGGGAAGGATCTGTTCTGTGGGGAGACTAGACGTTGATTTCTGGACATGTGAAGGGAAATGCTCTCCGAGAAGCATGGCTTTGGCCGGAGCACGTCAGATGAGAGTTAGCATGGCGTGGAGTTGCCACAGTGCCCCTCATGCCTGCTGCTTCTCTCCTCCTCACCGCTGGCCCTGACTCTTACCAAGGGAGGACAGTTCAGCTCCAGCTGAACCCTGCACAGGGCTGTGGGTCTCTAGGGCGGGTGCTGCCTTCTCCTGAACAGGCTGCGGCAGAGGAGGGTCTGGCCATACTTGAGCTGTGAGAGGAGATGCTCTCAGAGATCCAGCATCCTGCAACCCCAGGTGCTGAAGGTTCCTTCTCCACCGTCCTGCAGGGAGAGGGGTCTGTTCCTGCTTCCCCTCAACCCGAGCTGACTTCTTGTCTGTTCTGTACTCCTAGCTCTTAAGAGCAGTTATTGTTAAAAATAATCATCTAGCAGACAAACACCCATAAAGTGACAGCCTGGGAGGGTAGATGGGGCTTGGAAGGTGGTTTCCCGAAGAACAGGGTTCAGTTTCCTGTTTTGGCGTTATTCGACCCAAGGCCCACCCCCCCAGATAATTGAAATATTGTCAGCAAAACACCCATGTTGTACCTGAGTTTTTTTTTTTTTTTTTTCTTTTTCTTTAAAGGAATGGGTGCAAACTTCTAACGGGAACCTGACAAAAGAGGATTTCTTCTCTGCAAAGCGAAGGTCGGGGCTGGTTGGCATTTGCCATCTGTGACTAGCAGGGACCCAGGCTGCTTCCTCCCCCTCCCGCCCCTCCCGCCGCCCCTGCCCCTGTTTCCACCAGCAGGAAGGAGAGAGGTTGCACCTGCCATGTTGCTAGTCCCTGGGGTGATTCTCTAGCATAGATGGGAGTTGGGTTTGGAGGCCTGAGCCCCATGAAGCTGGGGTTGCTGTTCCCTGAGCAGCAGGAGCCTGGACCCTGGGAAGTGGGGTCAGAGGGTAGCCTTTGCTGCATCCACAGGAGGGGGCTCCTCGTCCCAGTTGACATCATCACTGCAGAAGGGGGTGTGGCTTCATGGTCCATTGATAAATAGAACTTACCTCTTTTTTTTTTTTTTTTAAAGCACATCAAACCCTAATTCCTTTGGCCTTTACTAAAGTGGCATTTTGTAATTCCACATGATTTCATGGTTATACTCGCAGGAGAGAATGCTTCCTGTAAACCCAGAAGCATCTGAGAATAGTTCTCGGCCCATTCAGAAGGTTCATTTTCCCAAGGTTAAAGACACAGCCTCAGGAGGGGTTGAGGATGCACTGTGACAGTCTCAGGACCTGGACATGTGCCCAAGGTGTTCAGGGCACAGCTTGATCTTACACATTTTAGGGAGATGTGAGACATCAATATATGTGAGATGTATGTTGGTTTGTTCCAGGAAGGAGGGATGACTGGAAGCGGGGAGGGGTTTCCAGGTTACAGGTAGATCAGAGACAGATGCCTTTCTGGTGAGCCTTTCCAGGGAAAGCAGTAAGATCCGCATCTACGTGTGCAGATGGTGACTTTGAGTTCTGTCCTCTGTCCCTGAGGAATTTCCTTGTGGACCGACGGTTGTGAGGGAGGTACGTGGCTTTTTTTTTTTCCCCCTCAGTCTCTTTTAGGAGCATGGGAGGCAGGTTTGCTCTAAGCCATTTCCCACCTTGACTTCCCTTTAGCTTAGTGATTTTTGGGGTCCTGAGATGTATTTTTCACTTCACACTTCTGAACACACTGTCACTGTAAACAGTGTTGTAGGAGGCCGTCTAACTTATTTAGAAGAATAA